TCCAGCGTTCGGACCGCCTCCTCTCTGATCCTTTTCTTAGTTCCCAAAGAACAGTATGTGATCCGATTCCGCAGAAGGGCTCCAGCCTTGTAAGACACTCTGTACCCTATAAATTAATGTTACCGTAATCCCTAATCGAACATTTTTAGATAAAGATGTATTTTTCAATTTTATTATTTTTTTTCATCTGAATTCTTTTGAGAATTAAGTTAGCGTTTAATATGTTTTTTTCATTTCTTAAGGTAAAACCAAAAAAAATCCCATTTTTTTTTATCTAAGATAAAAATTTAATAGACTTTCTTTTTTGCTCTCCCGAAAATGTCTATAATTTATTAAAAACGAAAATTTTTTTAGTATTCAAACTAATAGAGAAATTATATTCATTTTGAAATGATAAAAGGAGAATTAAAATTGTGATCTGGGAATGTTTTCAAGTATAATGAAATTGAGACACCTTAGCAATAAAATGATTTTTGTCTGAATATATTTTGTTAATTGAGAACTTATAAATAATTGAGAATTATTGCTTCGATCAAATATTTTAAATAATTTCATAATTTGTTCCACCTTGAATTAATGAAACTCAATTTACTGTTGACACAGTAGAGTTTACAGTTAATAAACGATGAGAACTACTTGTAATGTAAGAATATTCATGAAATGCTCGCAGAGTGTTGTCGGCTACATCACAATTTTTACTTTAAACAATTCAAAATGGTTTATTATAAAAGCTTTAATTCAGAGAAAGCACTCAATAAAACAATAAAGAATAGATAAAACGAGAAAAAAAGTAGAGTTGACCTTGTCAACTCTGTGATACCCGTACGAATTTGTTATCCTATGTGCGAATAACTAATGTGCCATAACTAACTATGGGGCAGACTATGACTTTAAGTTGCCGTATTACCATATTAATTTATGCAAAATTTCAGTACTATGTGTTTTTCAAAATACTGGTTGTGCCAAACTACTATTGAAGTTGTATGGCAGCTACCAGAAAGAGCCAAGAAATTTTACCTAATTTCATCAAGCACATCGGCCCTACTAATATATTCACTTGTGTGAAATCTCAATATCACAGCTTTTATAGTTTCTGAGATAAAGCCAAATAAATTTGGAAGTTGTATGGCAGCTACCCGAACCGGTACCCCGATCACGTCCAATTTAAATAGGGTTCTGGCACTTACTACAATAAATCATTTGTGAAAATTTGGTGAACTTAACTCAATTAGTTTTTGAGTTATCGTTCGGACGGACGGACGGACAGACAAAGCTAAATCAACTCAGAATTTGACGCTGATCAAAAACATACACTTGAGTCTATATCTAACACAGTTATTTCTTAGCGTTACAAACGGTAAGGCAAATTTAGTATACCCTTCGAACATACGTTCGTACGGGTGTAAACAGGGACAATAAAATTGGTTGAATTAATCATTAATAATATATGAATTTCAAATTTTTTTAAAAATAATTCTTAAATTAATTCTGTTGTTTTGTATAATAAAAACTGATAAAATTATAATAATAAAATTAAATTATAAATTTTCAATATAAATAAAATTTATTATACTAATAACAATTATATTAACAAATTTATTATTCGAAATATCGGATTCAATCATTAAAATCGAATTAAGTAATATAACAGAATGTTAAATTTTTGTTTTAAAATTTATTCGCATTTCTATATACAGACCAATATAAATGTATTTATATATACAGGGTGTTTTGAATAAGGTGGCAAATAATTTCAGGGATGATTCCTTGATCGATTTCCAGCAAAAAAAATTGTATGGATTGAAGGGGGGAGAGGCCTATATATACTCATTTTCGAGCTACAACCTGTTGAAAAAAATGGTGCCAAACTTTTCTTTTTCTGAATATATAAATAAATGCTTATAAATTCGTTACCGTACGACATAGAGCAACTATTAGGCACTTATTTTACACTTAATTGATTGCTCTTTATTTTTAGTCCTAAAATTTATTAGATTTGATCAATAGTTTTCGAAATAAAGCTTGCCAAAATCAGAATTTTTGATTTTTTTTTTTGAAATTTTTTTTTTGAAAGAAGAAATGGAAATTTCCCGAAAATTTGTATTATGCTCGAAATTTGTATTTAACTCGAAATTTCCCGAAAATTTGTATTATGCGAAACCCCCTGTATATTAATAAAAATTTCTCAATTTTATGAAGCTATTAAATATTTTTTTTTTTTAGAATTAAATTTATTTTTATTTAAATACCATTATTTAATGGAAATACAATATTATTTTCTTTACAATATTTTAAAATATTCCAATAATTTATTAAAGAATATTTTTTTTATGACTTTCTTTATTATAATAAATATAAAAGCATAAAATTAGAATTGAATTAATAGGTTTTGCAGGTGTTTATTAACACAAATATAATTAAAAGTTAATAAATCTCTAAAATATTTTTAGATTTTTTTTTGTTTTATATGGTCATTAAATTAATTTTATAGCGAACGTATTGTTTGTGAGCAATGAAATTTTTATAATATATTTTTATAATATTTAGCCTAATTTTGGAAATTTTGAAATTATACTACGAATTTCTATACAGAGAAGAAAAAACACAATTTTCCTTCTTAGCAACAAAATAATTCCGGAACATTTCTCTAATTTTCAAGGACTATTGAGTCAAAATTTTTGTGGTATTGCTTTGGAAGAAAATGAAAATTCGAAATGAAAAATTTTTAAATCAAAAATTCATCAATCAATGCAGATGGAGCAACTACAAATTTGTGAATTCAAAATTGAAGAAAATAAATTATTTATGAAAAAATATCCTTCATTTTGTAACTCTCATTGAATAATTGAAATAATTTAATAAAATTTCTAATTAAAAACTCGCAATCATCACTAATTCCGAATAGCATCACTCATCATTTTATGGGTTATAAGAAGAGTAAAAGAATATTTTGTTAAGATTTTCTTCTGAATATTAATCCCCAGTCCCAAACTCATCAATTTATTAATTTAAAATAATTACATAAAATAATAAATTTTCATAAAAATAAATTCTAAACAATAAATTATTGAAAGCAGTATTACAAAACTCCTACATTTTGTAATCTTGTTGTACTTCTAATTTTTATAATATGAAAATTCTTCAGCCTTTAATCACTAATTTCGCGGAAAATCAATGCAAAATATGCAATTGAAAAAATTTCAAATTTAATTCTCGATTCCCATAAACAAACTTTTTATTCACTCTCGTTAATGATAATTACTTAATTATCAAGATTCATTTAAAAAAAAAAATAATAATTTCACATAAATTTTTCCCACAAAATAAATTTTTCACATTTTATATTTCATTTCTCTGTAAAACTTTTTATATTTTTCAATTAAATGACCATGAAATAATCTGAATCTAGATTATAAAATTAAATTCTATATAAAGAATATTATAAAGGTAACATAAATTTTCCTCTTTTTTAAATTAACCTCAGTAACCTCAAAACAAATTCCAATCATCAACACTTTCAAAAGAGTTTTTTGCATTTTTTGTTTTTTTTTCTACTTTTCTTTTGAGTTAACTATCGTTGAATAGGTGAAAGAAGCTGTTAAAAAGAAAGGAAATGGAAAAAGAAAAATGGAAATTTATTGATTTTCCATTATATATGAAAATAAAAAAAGAAAATGAGAAAAGAAAAATAAGAATAAATATTGAAGTAGATAAGGAAAAATCTGGTTAACCTTATCAACTTTAAGGCATCCGAATATTTAAAAAAAATAAATCTGGGAATGAAAAATTTTAAAATTATTTAAGAGAAATGTGCAGTAAAATAAATATTATTTATTCATCATTTTACAGTAGTTTTCAACTCTGCCTGTTAAGATGAGCAGATGGTTTGAGCGGAGCCTTCCAACTCCCTGAGGGATATCTCCGGGTATTTGAAACCGGGATAGTTTAAGTATAAGATATGGGAAGGGCTAAAATACTCGTAAAATATGGTTGGCTGCGGTGGTCGGAGTGGAAGAATTCCTTTGCCCACATCTCTCTTCAATAATCTACAATCTAAAGAAATTTAAAAATAATGTGGAGCCCAAATGGCTATTCATATTTTCATATACATATGTATGAGAGGTTTTGAAAAATGTTGAGTAAAATTTTTTCAACACCCCTTTTATAGAAAACTTTAATACCTTTAACGATACTAGTAGAGTAAATATCATTAAATAAGTAAAAGCGTTTCAAAATTATACCCCGCGCCTTGACCATTTGCAACTAAAATAGGTTCCGCCCTTGGCAGAAAACAAATAGTGGGTGAAAGTTTATTAGTGTTTACTTTATTTGTTTTTAAGTTATCGTGCGACTGTACGGACAGACAGACATGTCTAAATCAAAGCAGAATTTTACTCTGAGCAAGAATATATATTTTGATATGTGGCAGATCGTCTACATACCGCACACGACTCCTTCAAGTGGTTACAAACTTCAACCCAGAGTTAATATACCTGCATCTCCACAATGGTGCATTTAACTCTTAAAAACGTAAAATATAATATTTAATACAATCCTTAAAATTTAAATTTTAAAGACTTCAAAAATATTTTTTGTTTTTAACAAAAAATTTCTAACAATTCTTTAAAAAATATTTTCCATTTTTCTTGTGGATTTATTACTTTAATTAAAATTAGTTCATGAACCATAATCTGGAAAATTAAATTCAAGAACCACTTAAATATCTTTAATCTATATTAAATATTAAGTACATATACAAGTAAACTTAAGAAAATATAAGAAAAATAATACAAAAGTTGTTGATTATAAAAAAATATTATTGATTGGGGAAAAATAATCTTAATTCTGGTTATGACTACACTGTCGTAATAAAACTCATGAAATCAACACAATGATCTCAGACAATAAAATGGAATGCATTTATTATACAAATGGAATGGAGTCTAATAGCATTCGGCTAAAATTTTGTTAATAATTATACATAGACTCTTAAAACTTACCACTTTACAATTTCTTTCATCAGATAAAAAACGTACTACACCACGTCCAAGTGCTTCACGTTTTCGTTGTGCAGAAAATAATCTCAATTCTTTACGTTCTTCATCTGTTAATGAATGACAATAGCGAACCTACAAAATAAAAATAAAATTATAATGAAATTGTGAAAATATTAATATTTTTGAAAAACAATTCAGAATAACTACTGAAAATTTCTCCATACAACTGAAGTATAATATGCATGACGTGATCAAAGTAACGAGTTAAAGTCGGGATAAATAAAAAATGTTTGCCCGCGTACCGGACTCGAACCAATGACCTACTGCTTTCTAGGCAGACCCTCTACCAACTGAACAACAGAGGTATGAAAAAAATTGCCGACAAATTGATAGCATGAAGTATTACTCTAAGTAATAGACTTGTATAAGTTCTGAGGTGGTTTTACTTAAAATATGTTTCTAAGACGAATAAAAAATAACTGAATTGAGGCAAATTTAGTTTTACAGAATCGAGGATTCGTACTTATCCAGTTTCAACCCCGAATTCTATAACAGTGTAGCATTCAATCTCAAATTTTATTTAACTAATAAGTTTATTGTAGCTCTTACCTCATTATCTTGTGGCGGTAGTTGATGTAATAATTGTTTAACTCGATATCTTTCACCAGCGCTATTTACATAAGGAACTTTATCATCCGGAAGCTGTGAGAAATATAATCGCACCTGTAATTAATATGAGAAAAAATCACATAAAATATTTGGATACGGTAAACAACGAGTGTATGCATATTATAACAGTATTATGTATATATATGTATATAAACAGGTAAAGATTAATAAAGCACAGGTTTTTGCTTATTTTTATAGCATTTAATTCTTAAAGACCATAATAAACGAATTATAAAATTTAACAAAAATAACCAAAAAAGGCACAGTAAAAATTTATTAAAAACTTTTTCCTCTTTTCCTACATAACTTTTATTATGTGGGGCAGTAAAAATTGCGGATTTACGATATTGTGTGTATGGAAAAAATAAAAACATTTGATTATCCTTTAACAAAGAAGAACGAAAAACATAACAAAAAATTTTAATGATTACTAATTAAGTAGAATAAAATCGATTTTTGGTATTAATGAAATCGATTTTTATTAAGAATAAATTTTAACAGAGAATTTAATGTTTCCACACCCAGGCGGCTCAATATATAATAGTATGTAGCGTGTAATTCGGTTAGCAGTGCTTCTTAATAATTTTCTTTTAGTGATCAGATTTTTATTTTTCAATTTTTGCGGCATGCTTTTGAAAATTTCGCAAATAGCACAATTGTATAATAAAATATTTTCGCATTCATACGCAATGGTGTAACATTGAAAGGTTCGCAAAGCAGTAATACGAGTAGCTTTGAATCAATCAAAATATAAGGTCAAAATTGTTAACTTTAAGGTTTTACATGTTTATATTTTTTGTATGCAACCTTATAAATGTAGCCTCTTCCAAATAAAACTGAAAATTTTCAAAGTTTCTGTTACAATAATCGCATTTGATAAGTCAAAATTAGACCAACTATGTATTGGCACAAATGGTAATGGATTCATTCTCCATTCAGTTTAATAATGCATGGCAAAATATGGCCCAAGCAGTGTCGAAAATTTGATGGAAAGCAAGATAATGACGAAAATTTAAGAAATGAAATAATTGTGGAAAAAAACGGGGAGAGACTATTTTTCGGCAAAACATTTTGCGGTATTTAGGTTGAAATATATTGAGTAGAAAAATATTATTTTCCCATTGTGTACATTGTGTAATATATTGAGAGTTATAATATAAATCTACCCATTATATGAACGTAATTTTATTTAAAATCATATAAACATATGAACACACAAGATTTTATGGTGCTCTTAAAATGTTTAATTACACTTTGCGAGGTTCTTGTTTTGCGAAGTATTTATGTACGTTGGAATTTTATATATCCAATTGTAGCAAATTATTATTAAAAATAAATCCTGATTGAATAAATTTATGAACCAATTTGAGAAAGAATAAAATAATATAATAAAAAAATAAGGATAATATAAAATCATAAAATTTTTTCATAAACGTTATAAAAAATCAACTTATCATTATGTGTAAGTACTTATATAGATATGTGTGTTGATGTTCATGTACGTATAAAATCCATTTATATCTAATTAAAGTACATACACATAAGGTTAGAATTGTGAAAATTTATGGTTTTACAAGGCTTTGTAAGATTGTCTAAACATTCTAAAAATTAGGCTATGTATCGAGACCTTAAGAATGCAAGATTATCTATTTAAATCTCGAACATCGTTAGACTCGAATATCTTACTTAGAATTCTGAGAAAACTTCAACTTTGACGCTATTTGAAGTTGACCAGAGTTCTTAAATATTTAATAAAGACAAAAAAATTTAAGTAATAAATAAATTGAAATAAGCAACATAGTGAAAGGAGAGTTGATTCTATTGTAACTCCAACTTATCCGATATTTTTATAACTAATCACAGCACTTTTTATCTATATTTCGGAATTCCCAACTTAATACAGTCCTCGTCATTGCGTAAGCGGTTGTTAATATATCTGTTATGCTCATTTTCTTAATCATTGGCTTTTTGATCTCCCGTTAAATGAAAGTTTTTTTAGGTAATTGTGTAAACGCTATAATTTTCTCCTTTATTTTTTAATATTTAAAATTATCAAATCGTTTTACTTTTTACAAATTTTATTGTTCAAAAAAAAAGTAAAATAAAAAGGACAAAAATGTGATTTACTTTCTTTTTGGGTTATTAAATACAAATTAAATGTATTTTTTTTCCCTTGCAACAATAAAAGAGCCTATATATACAAAATATATCTATGTAGACAGAAGCCCACCATAATATTCATGTATTCTTCTATACTGCGACATTTTATAATATAGGCCGTTCTTTAAAGAGCGGTAAAAAGTAAGTGCAAAAGTCATAAAAATTATACTTTTATCGAGCATAGAACTGTATACATAGTACATATTTACATACACACGAATTTAAAACCTTAAAGACTGATGTATACATCCATACATGCACATGAAACCTTAACAAATTTTTTACTTTCCTGCCCTTAAAAACAAGAAATTAATGAAAAATAAAAAGGCATTGGCAAATTGTTTCAGGACAACAGGTTTACCTTATATATTTTATAAACTGTAAACAAAATAAAAACAAAAATATACAAAAAAAAAATAATGCTGGCAGGATGTTGTTTTAACAAATTTACCAGTATAAAGTAGAGTGTCCTCTTTCTTTAATAGCATAAAACGATTGTAAAATTATCGCGATAAAATTCATAAGGATATGATTTGTTTACTTCCATGAAAAAAAAAAAGAAAAATTTAAGATAAAAAAATTAAAAGAGGAAAGAGGAAATAAAACTTTGGTCCTTGTAATTTAAGTATGAGTTGATGGAACAATTTTTGTCTCCTTTTAATTCAATGTTTCTTGTTTAATTTTTTTTTTATAATGTTCCTCCAAATAATTAGTTTATGTTTATATATCGTTGAATTAAAAAAATGCCGGGAAAAATAGAAAGAAGTTTAAGAATCACAACAATTTTAATTTTATTTTCAAAATAAAAAATTTACGAATTTATTATGCCTATAAAATTTTAAAACTTTTAAATTTTTTTTTTAAATGCTTTAATTTTTATACAAAAATTTCAGTAATAAAATTGTGAATTGTAATTGTGAATTGTAAATCTGAATTTAAAAATGATTTCCTTTACGCAAAATCAAAAATTTATGTAATTTATGAACGTTTATTGCAAACAAAATTAATTTAAGGCATTTGAAAATTCGGAACTTTTATTTAGAAGTGGGCATTAAAGCTGAATAGTTTCCAAAATGCAAGAATTTTTAGGAAATTTTCCGAAATTTCGAATTTTTCACAATTGTTTGGTTAACTACTGCCGAAAAGGTACTGATTTAAAAATAATCTCGTTTGAGTTGCTTTGAAAGCATTTTCTTTTAGACATGTAAGTGAAGCCAAATAAGCACAGTAATCGTAGCACCAGTGAGAATTTTTTTTTGAGCGCTCTGAGAGCTGTAACGATATTTTTGCCTAAAATAATTCTTCTTGTTTCGATATTACAAATTAATTTTACTTCAAACATTTCTTAAAAAAATTATTTTCTTCTATATATGTTTGATCATTTGAGCTAGGTGGATCCCTTCAGCATGTAAATAACAATGGATATGAGCTGAATGAATCCTTTTAATGTGTATACAAAAATGGATGCGAGTTAACCGAATTCATACAATAATTGCATTTGATTTGGATGAATTAAACTGCCGTAATGAATCTAGGTATATTACAAATTTTTTATTTTAATCTTGTAGCTCTTGTGTTTAAGTAACATTAGAGCACAATTATAGTCCTTTAAATTAATAAAATATTTTTGATAATGCATTCAATTATTTTTATAACCTTTGCTGTTTGGGAAATAATATCAAAATTAATTTCGAAATTACGCCTTCAATAATAGAATAATTTCAATATTACGCCTTCATTTTACGGTCAACTTAAAATTTTTTATAATTTAATTAAAAAAGAACAAGATTTCCTTATAAATTTTTATTTTATTCTTTTAATAGATGTTTTTGTTAAACTCAGTTTTCTATTTCTCTCTCATTCCTATTTTTTTGGTTTTCAAACTATAAATTAAGCATCGGTATTAAACTTTTAATGAATTTTTCAATTTCTATTTAAGACACGCTAATTATACCCGTACGAACGTATGTTCGAAGGGTATACTAAATTTGCCTTACCGTTTGTAACGCTAAGAAATAACGGTGTTAGATATAGACTCAAGTGTATGTTTTTGATCAGCGTCAAATTCTGAGTTGATTTAGCTATGTCTGTCCGTCCGTCCGTCCGTCCGTCCGTCCGTCCGTCCGTCCGAACGATAACTCAAAAACTAATTGAGCTAAGTTCACCAAATTTTCACAAATGATTTACTGTAGTAAGTGCCAGAACCCTATTTAAATTGGACATGATCGGGGTACCGGTTCGGGTAGCTGCCATACAACTTCAAAATTTATTTGGCTATATCTCAGAAACTATAAAATTTATGGTATTGAAATTTCACACAAACGAATATATTAGTAGGGCCAATATGCCCCATAAAAGTCGTTGAAATTACTTGGCTCCTTCTGGTACCTGCCATACAACCTTAAAAGTTATTTAGCTATTTCTCAGAAACTATAAAAGCTGTGATATTGAGATTTCACACAAGTAAATATATTAGTAGGGCCAATGTGTCTGGTAAAAGACGTTGAAATTACTTGGCTCCTTCTGGTACCTGCCATACAACTTTAAAAGTTATTTGACTATATTTCAGAAACTATTAAAGCTATGGTATTGAAATTTCACACAAACGAATATATTAGTAGGGCCAATGTGTCTCATAAAAGTCGTTGAAATTACTTGGCTCCTTGTGGTACCTGCTATACAACTTCAAAAGTTATTTGACCATATCTCAGAAACTATAAAAGCTGTGATATTGAGATTTCACACAAGTGAGTATATTAGTAGGGCCGATGTGCTTGATAAAATTCGCTAAAAATTCTTGGCTCTTTCTGGTAGCTGCCATACAACATCAATAGTAGTTTGGCACAACCAGTATTTTGAATAACACATAGTACTGAAATTTTGCATAAATTAAT